TCTCTCTCTCTCTCTCTCTCTCTCTCTCTCTCTCTCTCTCTCTCTCTCTCTCTCTCTCTCTCTCTCTCTCTCTCTCTCTCTCTCTCCCCAGCACACACGTGCCCGTTTTTTCGATTTGTCAGTCTTTTTTATTTGGGTCCCCATGGACCTCGGAATCAAGTATGAAACCGATCGGTACAGACAAGACACGATGGTGGCTTTTTTTTCTTTTTTCTTTTTTTTTGGGGGGGGGCGTAGGTACTCTCTCTCTCTCTCTCTCTCTCTCTCTCTCTCTCTCTCTCTCCCTCTCGCGCGCGCGCGCTCTCCTTTTTCTTATTGGTCCCAATGGAGCGCGGATCAGTCATGAAACTGTTCGGAAGATATGAAACTCGTCGGGACTCACCACGTTTGTGTGTGTGTGTGTGTGTGTGTGTGTGTGTGTGTGTGTGTGTGTGTGTGTGCATGAGTGCGTGTGTTCGTTCGTGCGTGCGTGCGTGTGTGTGTGTGTGCGTGCGTGTGTGCGTGTGCGAGTGTGCGTGTGTCCAATGTAGAGCGAAGTCATAGTCGTGCATAGCAGCATAGAAGTCAGTCGAGTAGCTTGAGTGTCAAAAACAGGCGTCGACTCTAGAGTAGCACAGAGTAGCGTAGAGTAGCTCAGTTGAGTAGAGTGTCGAACAGGTGTCGACTCTAACTCGCCGTCCAGGACACCTGCCCTCAAGTCGGCAGTGTGCGTGCCCCAGAAAGTAGTTTCTATACGTTGTAACGGCGCTGGACTGGTAGCGTGTCACACACAACCCCGGTACCGCATGCGGTAGGGCCGGTAACACGCTTTGGTACCGGCGCTGCCGCGCGGGCCCAGTACAGGCCCTGGCGCGGAGCCGCCCACGACGGTTCAACTTCTAAGAGCAAACGATCAGCAGACGATCGGGACCGTCGCAGAGCGTAAAATCACAGGGCCCCGATCGTCTGCTTGTCACCGGCCGAAAATTAGCGATAGTTATATATGTAGGGGATCAATAACTAAATCTGGAGGAAGGTGGAAGACACAAAAGGAAAATGGTGTTATAGCCTTATATGGCTGCTACAATTGGCATAAGAACCTATAAATAATCCAGAGGGTCGTTCAACACCAATGAACAAAAACTAGGTTTAGGGTTTAGGGTTTAGATACTGAGAGAAACCACAATCAGAGGAAGAAGACTGGGGCAGGTCCATCCCTAACACTAGACCCTAACTCCTAAATCTTTGCCCTATACCCCACATCCTAACCCTAAACTCTAAACCCAATCTTATCCCTAAACTCTAAACTCTAAAGCTTAAGCCCTGACCCTAAATCCTAAACCCTAAACCCTACCCACATGTGCCCACACAAAGACTATCCCGAAACAATCCCAGATAGACGAACATGATTGACCAACTATTAAGTCTTGCAAATCAAAATTCGAGCAAAGTCTTAGCATTCTGGATTAGCTTCCGAATCGACTTTTAAATCTTTCGTGCACAAGTGGGGGGGGGGTGGTTTCCACTTGTGCACGCCATCATAAATCTCTTCTTTGCTAGGAAGATTTTCGCGCCCAGCCGGGGGCCTGGACAGGTTCGGCGGCCGCGTTATCCTTTTTTTTTTGGGCGTGTTCCACTTCTCTGTGCTTGGCCTGAGGGACCCAAATCCAGGTCTTTTCTATTTTTCATGCACACCAGTTGGGGAGGGTTGGTGCGGGGGGAGGAGGCAAAGTGGGAGGAGGGAGGCGGCAGCGAAAAGAGGGGCGATGGTGGGATCAGAGAGAGAAAGTGGGAGAAGGGAGGCACAGTGGGAGGAGGAAGGTGATGGAGAAAAGGGGGGCGATGATGGAGGAAGAAGATGGTGAGATCAGAGAGGCGATGTGGGAGGAGGGAGGCGAAGTGGGAAGAGGAAGGCGATGGAGAAAAGGGGGACGGTGGAGGTGGAGGGGCGATGGTGGAGGAAGGTAATGGTCGGATGAGAGAGGAGAAGTGGGAGGAGGGAGCGAACTGGGTGGAGGGAGGCCAAGTAGGAGGAGGAAGGTGATGGAGGGAGGACGGACGCAAACTGGGAGGAGGAGGCGGGKGGAGGGAGGGTGGAGGGTGGAGGGAGAAGATGGCTTCTCTCTCTCTGCCTCTCTCTGTCTCTCTGTCTCTCTGTCTCTCTGTCTCTCTGTCTCTCTGTCTCTCTGTCTCTCTGTCTGTCTCTCACGTGGTACTACCACTATGAAGAAGAAAAAAAAGGAGGAGGAGGAGGTTCCTAAACCGTTGCTCTCTCTCTCTCTCTCTCTCTCTCTCTCTCTCTCTCTCTCTCTCTCTCTCTCTCTCTCTCTCTCTCTCTCTCTCTCTGTCTGTCACCTTGTACTAGGATTGCAGTCGATGATGACTGCTGTCCAGCATCCATCCATTTTTAAAAATTGTTTTCCCCCTACGCGTGTCGTACTATGTGCGGAGATGGGGTTTCACGAGTAAGAAGAAGAAAGAGGACGAGGACGAGGACGAGGAGGAGGAGGAGGAGGAGGTCGCAACACACACACACACACGGACTTACCTCGGCGATGGTAGGCTTCGACGGACAGCAGGCAGTGGACGCGGGGAAAAGTCGATGGCCGGTTGTGTCGAAGACTGGCCATGTGATTTTGTTCCAGCATTCAAACTGGAATGCCCACGTGAAATCGCGCTTTTTTTTTCCCAACCGCTGGGCCGGTAGGGCCTTTGGGCAATTTTTTTGGGGGGTCTGAAGGCCCCGTGGAGCCCCTTCCATCCCCAGGCCCCTCACAAGGGCTTTTTGATTTTTTTAAAAGTAGCGCTAACAGCGATGGGGGGCCTGCCTGGACATCATGCCCGCCCGGGCACCTGGGCGCCTTCCCGGGCAGGGTCTGGGCACCCGGGTGCTCGGATTTCACCCTAGCTCTTTTTCTTTCTTTCTTTCTTTCTTTCTTTTTAAGAATTTGGACCACTTCTTGATAAATGCCGTGTCATTTTTGTGCAGGGGGCCAGGGGCCATGCTAATCTTCTTCTCTGTATCGTTCCGATTTCAACGGATGTCTAGAAGGACACGCCATCATAAACCTCCCTTGCGAACATTGGGGGGGTGTGGGGGGACTATGCAGGTGCTCTTTTCTTTTTCTTTTCTAATACTATATAGGAGCCTTTGCGCTGAAGTCAAGAGCAATCTATCCCCTTTAAATTCTTTAGTCTTGTTGTGCGTAGAAGATTCATCAGTGTTCCGTGGTCGGTTGTACCCTGGTGCGTCTTCTAAGCACATAAGTGGATGTACAGTGCCAGACATTCCGCCTTCTATGTGCCGGGCAGCTGTCCCTTCCAAATCCCGGCGTCCCCGGGCCATAGATTGAGCCTACGCTAACCGGGCCGTGTGAGTGAATGGTACACACATGTACCTGTTGGTAAATGGATCATGATATACGAATCCTGCCGGAATCAGCTGGATGCAATATTGTCAGGATAGCAAATCCCTTTTGAAAAAAGAGAAACTGAGGCTACAGAGGTACAACTTATAAGTTATAACTTATAACATATAAGCCCAAGCCATAATAAACGAAAGACAGATAGAACTGCAGGCAGTGCCAACAAGGAAGGAGAGAGAGGGAGTGGGAGATGAAAGCAGGCATGGTGAGAGAAAGGTGAGGCGGAAAGGGAGGAGGAGAGAAGCAAGGAGGGAGGGTAGGAATGGGGGGGGGGGCAGGAACCCAGCACGGAGGGCAGAAGACAGGGAGTGAAAGGAGGCAAGGAAGGAGGAAAGCGAGGGTAATCAGGCAGAATACCCAGGATGGGAGTAAGGGAGAGGTAAAAGGGAGGAAAAGCGGACGATTCAGGCAAAATGAGGTGCCCCCTGGACCCCACCAATGTCATGGCACAATGTTGGATATAACATACTCAGCAAGTTGTTTCGCTTTCTCATATTCCCGCCGCAGATCTGTGATGGTTTCCATCAGCTTCTGGTTTTGCTGGTAGACGCTGGGCACCAAAGGCAAATCTACCGGGAGCTTCCCAAATGCCTTGTGCTCATGCCATTCAACCTAATAACACATCATCATTCAAAAAGTTAACCCTGCAAAGCCATGAATCATCATTGTCTAAAAAACTGCCTTTTAGGCTTTCAGAATTTCAGTTAAAATTAAAATATATTTTGCTGGTGTGACAAAATTGAGTTTTTTTTGTCCAGCGATTTGGGCCAGATTTCGGATGTATCGCGGACGCCGTACCTTTAGAGGTATTTTTTTTACTATTTTAGCATATTATGTTCATTGGAGGATGATTAAACCACACCAACATGGTCAGTTCACTCACTAATTGGAGGATGATCAAATCACAACACCCTCTTGAAGCTCAATTTCGTCACGCCAGCAAAATGTTTCAACTTTTTAACTAAATAAAAGGCACTTTAATGAAAGTGGATGAAACTCAATATGAGAGCAATCCTGTTCGTATTCGTTAGCATTTGCATTCGCCAAAAAAAAAAAAAAAAAAAAAAAAAGCATTTGCATTCGGAATTTAAGATACACATTCCGTCGCGACATCCATTAAAAAATTGGAACGATAAAACGATATAGAGAAGATTAGCATGGGCCATGTGCAAGCACAAGTAGATAAGAATCACAAGAAGAGAGCTCCCCAATATGAATCCAAATTTGTACACATAACTACAGTGCACCACAAAATTGATATACTCCAGAGTCTGCAATATTGACTGGCCCTGATGCTCCTCCCCTACCGTCTTCACCCGAAATAGAACGCCCGGTAATTATCGCTGTATATGGACTGGAGGTTGCCCCAAATACAGCTATAATGACCGGCCGTTCTATTCGGGTAAAGACGGTAGTGAAAACCTTCACAACTGGCTTCCCAACATGCGGATCACAAACTACATGAGCAATTGGACGCACTTGTACACATACTGCTGGGAGGGGGGGGGAAGAAATAAGACGATAGGGTGCAGGGATTTGCTCCAAAGCATGGGCTTAACTGGCAATCAATTCTTCCCGAGGGAAGAAATCAATGCTGTCAGGCTTCCCCAGGCCGTAACATGGTGAAGCGTGGGTAAGAGTTGTATTCAAGTTATTTGACTTGCCGGTGGAATAGCGACCTGGCTGCTGCTCCCCAGACTAAAAGGAGCCTTTGTGGAGCAGCGCTGCTGGGGAAGAAGGAGCACCCAGCTCTCCACCTTGGCTATGGTGAAGGAGCTCGGGCTGGAGGAGGAGGAAGAAGGGAGCTAGGGGACAGGAGCGCCAAGGGTAGTTACCTGGCTATGGTGGACGCCATCTTCATCACCTTGGTGGGCGCTGCATCTGGAAGACCCCCCTTGGGGTAGAGCGGCGTCAAGAAGCTTCGAGGCAGAGTCAGGCATGGCGGCCTGCGTAGGAGCTGCTTTGTATTGTCTTTTGCGCGTCAGGGCAAGGCCCTAGTAGTCCGCTATAGCCTCAGCCTTCATGAAGAGGAAGGAGAAGGAAGGCCATGGCTATGGTGGACCTCATGTTGTGCCTGCAGTAGTTGATTCTGGTTCGGCCATTCATCATCATCATTATTATTATTATTTATTGTTTGAATAAAAAGGGGAGGAGAAAAGGAGGAGGAGATTGGTTGTTGAGAAGAAGGGAAATTATCATTGGTCTTTGCTGGTGTACATCTTCTTCTTCTTTCTTTCTTCTTCTTCTTCTTCTTCTTCTTCTTCTTCTTCGTCTTCTTTCCCTCTCTCTCCTCTCAAGTTCATTCATTTCTTTTGCAATTGGACGGCGTTGTAGTTTCTCGTGATTTTGTCAGACTAGAAATCTCAGCAGAAAGCAGGAATCTCCGCAAGTCTAAAAATTCAGCGGCAAAACTCAGAAAACAGCAGAGTTTTTTGTCGCTGATTTTGTAGGTCATCATTACACTTCAGGCTTTTTGGATCGGCCCTGCAAGAATCCACCCGAATAGAACACCCGGTAATTATCGCTGTGTCTGGACCGGAAGTTGCCCCAAATACAGCTATAATGACCAGGCGTTCTATTCGGGTGAAGAGGGTAGACCACTGTAACCGTGATGTGGTGTTCAAAAGGGGAACCATTCAAGCAGTGATATCCTCCCCGCCGCTGCATGTTATGAATACATACTTCCCACATGGCATCATCACTCGAGACCGCCCTACAGGACACGGTCTGGACATGATTCCCCGGCCGGTTATCGCCTAGAAGAACTGGCCTTTTGTAATCGTTTGGGGTCAACCCTGCAAGGTTTCGAACAGGCAATCTTGGGCTTGCACCTCACCTCAAAGGCCTCCAAAGTCTGCATGAGACCCATCTTGATAAGGAAATTTCTGATGAAGTCATCAATAACCTCAGGTATCCTTTTGACTGCTGTCTGAGGGGTGCCAGGAACTTGAATTCGAGAACCTGCAGAATTTCATATCAGCCGCACACACATTCTTTATTAGAAAAAAAAAAGAAAAACAAAGGCACTTCAAGCACATAGTTTGGAGGAGCGGACCTCCTCTCTCTCTCTCTCTCTCTCTCTCTGTGTGTGTGTGTGTGTGTGTGTGTGTGTGTGTGTGTGTGTTGTAGATTTTCACCACAGCAGCTTCTGTTCCACCCAGATGAGCAGATCCAAATTGAAGCAGCTTTACCTCTAATGTAGACAATGGAGCACACTTGAGAAGAGCCAACAATCCGACAATGGAACAGTTCTACCTCCATAGCAAGCAACACTGAGCAGAGCAGATCCGTTATACCCCTTTCTTGACTATCTTTACTTTGGCTTTCTTTTTGGGGTACCCCTTTTATTTGTCTTTGCAGCTACCTTTTACTATGCCTCTCACTTTTTGTTTTTTTTTTTGCCTCTCACATACGAAGGCTGACCATGTTGATTGTGGGTGAGCGCCAGCTGCCCACATCCCCATGTGCCATGCCGCCCACTTGCACGATATAAAAGGAGGCAGAGTAAAGAGGGGGGATATACTCATGTTCATTTTTCTTCAGATCTTCATCTGATATTTTGTCTGTTCCCTCAATGATGCTCATTCATATGCATTTACTAGTAGCACAACAGAATGGAGGAAGGAAAGCGGTAGGGGGTGGAGTTCTACGGGAAGCGAGGGGCGGGGGAGGAAGAAAAAGGGTGGACGAGGGAAGTGGACGGGCAAAGAACAGAACAGAGGAAATATGAACTTTACAGGGTTCTCAATACTCACAGCTGGAGCAGACTACTCTAGAATGGCAAGAGAGGCCCATCAGTGTTTGGGTTCCAGGAGATTTTCAGTTGAGGAGCTGCCATGTGCTCATGGTAAATGGCCACCTCTACAGACCGGATACGACCGATTTGGGTGTGGATTGTGGAAGCACCGCATCCAATTCTCGCAGTTGCAGTTGCTCCTCCATTTATCTAGGAACACAGGCAAGCTGACCACAACCGTATAGGCATTGCTGTTCTGGGCTGCTGCATCTGTTGTTTGTCTAGCAAGGATGATTCCATGGAGAACAAGGGAGTGCAGAAACTATGTGTGACAACAGAGGTTCTTGGCGAACGTCATGATACAAGGACAGTTTGCGTTTAAACCGCCAGTACACGGCCCCGTGCAAAAGCGGAACAGGTGAAAGAACGCAAGGCGTCGCCGAAGCCAAGAAGAAGAACACGCACGCCGTCATGCATCACACACAAACACACGCGAATACAGTCTTCGTAGGCAACAAGCCCACTCAAGGGGCCAAATCATCTCAAATGAAGACAAAGCGTTACAATGCCAAGTTGCCAACCCATCGCCAGCATCCCGTCCACCACCATATCCATGCTCTTAACCACCTCGCCGAAACCCGAGCCCCCACAAACCCACCCTGGCGGCTTTCTGGCTTGTCCCCGACGCACGTTTCAACCTGCGCCAGATGCCGGCATCCTAAGGGGGTAGGCGACCCTCATTGGTACCCCTATCGCTAACTCAAAATGAGTTGCCACTCACGCGTAGAGCTATGGTCAGACTGAGTGCATGCAACATACGGTTCGGCAGGTACTAAGCCATCTGATCAGGCCTGATCAGATCGATTAGGATAAAAAAACTTGCGAAAGTGGAAAGTGTATACATGCTATACAACTCTTCATTTCATTTCACCAGCTACAGCAAAGACAATAAATGAGCTTCACTTCGGGTGGGACCGCAAACAAATACTAGTTGTTTTTGGTTCCCAATCTGGCAATACAAGTACTCCTCCAGGAACTTTGTGGAGTTCACAAGTTCATAACACAATTCACAGACAAGCTGTGAAAAACTATCAAGAGTATGTAGGCGGCGTAGGAGTCTATGGCTGCTGAAGCCAACCTACATCACAAACCATCGGCAGTCAGAGAGGAAGAACTTGTTTGAGTCAGCGACTCAGCATGGACGCCATCTACCCGAACGAAGGGTACAAGAAACTGTAGGTGAAAAGGTGTGGGCCATGGAAGAGGTGTTTGTTTTTGTTTTTTTCCCCCCTCACCAGTGTTGCACACGCCGACCGTCGGCGACCCCTGACTGGTCGGCTGCCGACCCGCCGACCGGTCGGCTGGTCGGCACCTACCGGTCGGGGGTCGTCAGCACCCCGCAAAAAAAAAAAAAATTTTTTTTTTTTTTTTTGTGTGTGTGTCCAGAACCCCTAATAACCCCACGAACACCCCCATACACCCCCCCAACACCCAATAACCCCACGAACACCCCCATACACCCCCCCAACACCCACAAACCGGCCCCCAACACCC